TGGTCGCGCTTTTTAGTCCCGGTTAGAAGTCGAGCTGCTGCGTTCTGGACTAACTGTAACCGACGAAGGGATGACTGCTCCAATCCAACATACAAAGAATTACAGTAGTCTAAACGGGACATAATAAAAGCATGTATGACTCTTTCAAAGTCTTTGCGTAGCAGGTATTGCTTGACCTTCGCCAGAAGCATCAGCTGGAAAAAACTGGCTTTAACAACTGAACTAATCTGTTTATCAAATTTAAAAGCATTATCAAAAATCACACCCAGATTCTTGGTAAAAGGTCGAACATGTGATCCTAAAATACCAAGAGCATCTACACAGACATTAAAATGTACCGCACGACCAAACACAACAATTTCAGTCTTATTATCATTTAGAGAGAGAAAGTTCTGATCCAACCAAATTTTTAGTTCACTCAAACAGTTCAGCAAAGGCTGGAGATTATCCTTCTCATTGTTTTTTACAGGCAAATAAATTTGAACATCATCAGCAAAGCAGTGAAAAGAAATGTTATGTTTTTATAAAAATGGACCCTAATGGCAGCATATACAAAGAAAAGAGCATAGGTCCCAAAATGGAACCTTGGGGGACCCCACAAGAAAGAGGAGCAACCGATGAAGAGCAATTCCCAAGGTGGACAGCAAAACTCCTATCTGCCAGATATTATTCAAACCATTTAAGGGCTAAGCCCGTAATGCCAACACTTTGTTTGAGCCGGGATAAGAGGATAGAGTGGTTGACGGTGTCAAAGGCAGAGCTCAAGTCTAAGAGCACTAAAACAGCAGATTTTCCTGAATCGACTGCTAAGAGAAGATCGTTATAAACTCTTAGAAGGGCAGTTTCGGTACTGTGGCGGGGTTTAAAACCAGACTGGAATTTTTCGTAAATACTAAATTCATCTAAAAATGATTGAAGTTGATTGAAAACTACCTTCTCCAAAACTTTAGATAAAAATGGAAGTTTAGAAATGGGTCTAAAATTAGACAAAACTGAAGGATCCAAATTTTTCTTTTTTAAAAGTGGTTGCACAACAGCATGTTTAAAAGCAGCTGGAACAACCCCTGAGCAGAGAGAAGCATTAATCATAGATGGAATACTAGGCCCAACAGTGTTAAAAACATCTTTGAATAAGCGAGCAGGGATACTGTCCAGCAGACAGTTTGCCGGACGAAGTTGCTTAACTACGTCAGAGGGGTCACTGGTAGAAGTAGGGGATGAAAAGCTCAGGCCAGAAATTTTATCTATGAAGTATTTCAGGAAGTTTTCACACAACAATGTGGATGGCACAGCACAGACAGTTTCACATGGGTTAACAAGAGAATTAAACACTTTAAAAAGAACCTAAGGCCTCTGTGTATTATTTGCAACCAGGAGAGATAAAAACTGAGTTTTAGCAGATTTAACCGCTCCCTGGTATTTATGTAATGTGTCCTTTAAAATTTGAAATGAAACTTGGAGTTTGTCCTTTTTCCACTTTCTCTCAGCTGTTCTGCAGGCACGCCTGAGAGATCGGGTATGGTCATTTAACCAAGGTTCTGTTAGTGCTTTAGTGCGTTTAACCCTTAGTGGAGCAACAGAGTCAAGTATATCAATACAAATAGAATTAAAGAAATTAGTGAGTTCATCCACATTGAGATTACAATCTTCAAGATTGTACAGCACTGAGTCTTTAAAGGCAGCAGAAAACTGTGAGGCAGTTAAAGGGTTAATTGCACGCACACTGCGTGCGGGCACAACAGGCAAAGTGTCCGAACAGGGGCCAACTACAGTAAATACAACAGGCAGATGATCCGACATACAAGTGTCACAAATTTCACTAATGGCCACATCTAAGCCATAAGACAGCACAAGGTCCAGAGTATGACCTTTTTCATGTGTCGGGCCAGTGACAGACTGCACAAGATTAAAAGAATCAATTAGATTAAGAAAATCCTTAGACAAAGGTCTGGATTTGCAACACACATGTATATTAAAATCACCAACACTTATAAAATGGTCATATTTTAATGCAATCCCAGCCACAAAGTCAGCAAAATTCTGAATAAAATCCTTGTTAAACTTAGGAGGTCTATACACCACCGCACATAGTATGATCGCAGGAAGATTAGTCTCAAACAGCTGCAGCTCAAAGCTAGAGCAACTGTCAAACGGAATCTCCCGACACTGAAAGGTACATTTAAACACAGAGGCTAGTCCTCCACCTCTACCTGTGATCCGAGGGGAGCTGAGGAATCCACATTGGGGAGGAAGAAGTTCTGAAAAAGACGTGAGCTCACCATCATGAAGCCAGGTTTCTGTTAAGAACATAAAATCCAGCTCCCGAGAAGTGAAGAAGTCATTGAGGAGAAAAGTCTTGTTAGCTAGCAATCTAGCATTAAACAAAGCCAGACGAAGAGTTTGCTCCTCGCTGGCTTGGGGTGCCGCACGATCTAGCGGGCGCAGATTAGAAAAAACCACACCAGCTCGGTTAATCCGAGCCCACTTGGGAGAAGATGGAACCGTCAGCAGATGAGCCTCAGAAAAACGGGACGGAGCCAGCGATCTCTCATCCCCGGCAAGCGCCCGGCAGCAGGAACGTAGCGCCCATCAGGACACGTCACACAGGTGGACGCCAGGTAAGCCTTGAATCTCACCAGCACACCTCCGCGTTTTCCCCGTCGCCTGTAACGTTTCTTACGGGGAAGAGCCACAGGTAAACGGCGCAGGTCCTAGGGTACATCCGACAGCAAAGGAGGAAGCCTCGAGTCCCAGCGGTCTCCAAATCATGTCTTTCAGACAATATATCAGCAGATAATCTAATGCTGAAAAGTGTGTCGCGATCATAAACGAGCAGAGCAGAGACATCTTGACAGTGTGTAGAAATAAATAGGGCGACAGCAAATATTAAACTAAGCAAACGGGACAGAGACAGACGGCTTGCCGTGCATACTGGCGCCATCATGTCATGAGCCAGGTATTGGCGATAACCCTTGGACGTGGCTGTGGTTACAAGAGGTAAAAACGATATAAATACTGTTCGTTTTGTCACACAAACCACTCGTTTCGTGTCTTAGGCCATCAATGTGTACTTACATTTACGAGTCATTATATCATGTTTAATTTGGACTTCTCTGTGCATGCTCTTTGAGGTGGTGACCATAGACCTGCATTATAGGACTGACAGACAAGAATGGTTTGACCTAAAAATATCAAAATCGAATCTTCTGCGGAAACAAAGACACCTACATCTTGGATGCCCTTGAGGTAAGCTAAAACATACCAAAAATTAATTTCAAAGTGAACTATCCCTTTAACTCATTTCATTTGAGGAAACTGATTATCTAAAAATTGGTTTAATTGCCATTAAATATTTATACTGTGAAATTTTTTTTTTTTTCATTTTTCAATTCCCTGCCACTTGAAAACAAAGATTGGGCTGCTGCTGCGGTCTTTCGAATCGGCTTTGGCCGCGACTCTGTGAGGATTTGGAGTTGAAGCTATTCTTTGAGAAAAGAACGAAGAACAACACTTAAGTCATTCTTAAAGAAGGAAGATGTGTTCATAGTTTTGCCGGCCAGATACAGCAAAAGTTTAATCTATACAACTAGCTCCGCTGGTGGGAAAACACTCTGGTTGGTTGTAGCGCTATCCTATTGCGTGCAGAGGGAATATGAAAGACAACCGTTTATCCTGCCTGTTAGATTTTGCTATATTTGGCCGAGCAGTGGTTTGGGTTGGCTCGCCAATGTATTAGATTTCTCCAATACATAAAATAAGTAACTATTGTGGGGAGAAGAATTCATTTAATGTTTGTAGTGTAGCAGTCCTTCAGCGGCGATGTTAGCAAGTCGCCCTTCAACAATCTTAACCAAAAGTTCTGTTTGTGAGACAGAACTTTATAAATGAAGACTATGGGCTACAAACAATAGAAACCGGTTAGGACCTCCCACAGGAGATCGATCTCACCCGCTAATCTACTCTGAGCAATGCTGATTCTTTGTCATTCACACCAATCAGTTTCTATGGGCCATACATCTGTGTTGTTCACACCTTTACAGACACAGGTAGAGTTGATTACATCTGAGGCACAGTAACTATGTAAATGCATCTGACTAAAGTTAACTGAAAATACACATAATCTTTCACGCCAACATCTAGATGTGGGTCTGGCTTGCCAGGCTAGCTCAGATACGGTCCAGTTCTGGTTTATTTCTTTACTCTTGGCTGACATGTGGCATTACTATACTCACAACCGGCACACCGTCATAGAATCTCTGAACAGATTTACGCGTGGAAAACAAACTGCCATTCAGTATCGGATCGAGTGGACAGTATCGAGTTTTGAAGTGGACTAACCTTACAACATGCCAAAGAGTTGTGTGGTTGGAATTAAACTAAAGTATGATCTAGTCTTCACAGCACAGCACAGGCTAAACATTATTGAACAATATTATCTCAATAATAATGCATTGCATGACATCTCAAGCTTGGTTAAAAAGCAGGACACTAGCAACTCTAAACATACAGGTTATGTAAGCTTCCCACAAGTATAACTGCTGGGCTGCTTGGATATAATATAATACCCAAGTTTCACTCTTTGAGTGGAATTACTGAAATAAATCAACATTTTGATGATATTCTAATTATATGACCAGCACCTGTATAAATCAGAGTTTGCTTAAGTTATGATTACAACCAGGTCAGCCTTTCTGGAAAGTTCATTAACTTGATATAGTTTGGCGTTAACTGTTTATTGGTAAAATGATTATAATAATAACTATATTGAAAAATGTCAAAAATTATTGGCAACATTGTTGCAAAAAAATGTTGAACCATATATAAATAAAACAAAAAAAAAGCGCTAAAAAATTATTAATGATCTTTACTGACCATTTGTTGAAAGTAAACAAGAACATTTTTTGTATAATTTCATAGTTGAACTGTTGAACTGAAGTGCTTGAATGTTTCTAACATGAATGTTCTTCAGCATCATGAATGAATGAAGAATAAACACCAACCTCTTTGTTCTTCAGGATCTTCAGTGTGTTTCATTCTGCAGGGTTCTGGATCACTCGTGTTCTCACTGTCCTCTTTAATAAACTCAGTCTTGGCAGATTTCAGCTCTTCCTGATGCTCTGATGCTCGTCTTCACTTGTAGCTGATGGGAATTTACAGCATTTATTGGGGAATTGCAGTGGGAGGAGCTTCACTGGTGATGTGAATGTTGTGGGAGGAGCTTCCCTGATGATGTGATTGATGTGGGAGGAGCTTCACTGATGATGGGAATGTTGTGGGAGGAGCTTTACTGATGATGTGATTGATGTGGGAGGAGCTTCACTGATGATGAATACCAGTGTGGGAGGAGCTGATCTGCAAAAATCTATAACATATCAGTTACTGCGTTTGTTTTTGTACTAAATATCACATCTAAGCATTTATGCGTGTTCGTCTGTAAAGTAACTGATGCTAATTCACAACTTATTTTATTACTCAGATTAACTAATTAATTTATAAGAAAAAAAGTAATCGGACCGTATTCGTGAGATCCCACCCCTAATTAAAATATAGCAGACCTAGAAATACAGAAAAGAACACAAATGATTAATTGTATAAATTCAAAAATAAATATTAATTATTGTCAGAAAACATACATATTTGTAACGAACAAATACCTTTAGTCTTAGACCAGTGAAATGAGCTTAAAGGAGAACTCCAGCGCAAAATGAACCTTTGGTCTAATAAAACATTGGTACCTACCGTTCTCTGAGATTTGTTTTCATGATGATCGAATGTAAAGAGTTTTATCTCTAAAAACTGTTTAGCGTATAACGCTAGTAATGGGGGCATTTAATAAGTAAAAAGAAATCGCTATTTAATACCACTAACAAGGCTCAAAATAGCCCCACACTAACACAGTAACATAATGAGGGTCCCTACATGCAAAACGAAGCATTGAGAACTTTGTAAGTGTACAGACCGTTTAATAAGAAGATATTTTATGAAGACAGTCCACTTCGTGTATAAAGACAGGAGCCATCTTTGGGAAAACAGTCTAATCAAACCACGAACGACGTGCTAAGTGAGCTGAACTGTATGAATGGCGTTCGTGGTTTAACTAGTCAAGACTGTTTTCCAAAGATGGCTCCTGTCTGTATACACGAAGTGGACTGTCTTCATAAAATATCTTCTTATTAAACGGTCTGTACACTTACAAAGTTCTCAATGCTTCGTTTTGCATGTAGGGACCCTCATTATGTTACTGTGTTAGTGTGGGGCTATTTTGAGTCTTGTTAGTGGTATAAACTAGCGATTTATTTTTACTTAATAGATGCCCCCATTACTAGCGTTATACGCTAAACAGTTTTTAGAGATAAAACTCTTTACATTTGATTATCATGAAAACAAATCTCAGAGAACGGTTGACTAAGTACCAATGTTTTATTAGACCAAAGGTTCATTTTGCGCTGGAGTTCTCCTTTAAAGTGTCAATTTACAGGAGATCTGAAGACATCAGAATAATAAATGAGGTGAAAACAGGAACTTTGTTGTGAAATACGGGTAGAACTATTTACTAGCCAAGTACGACAGTTATCAGTTTAAAAGTGTGCATGTGAATTAAATGTGGGACAATGGCCTTCATCATCTCAGTATGCTAATGCTGTGAATCAGATGCGAGGGAATCGTCATTATGCAGATTGAGGACTGATGTGTCTATTACACCTCTAACACACATCTGTGCCATTTGCTACACACACACACACACACACGCTTATTCCCACCATACTAACGTTACTGATCTACTAGTGTGTTCTAACATGTTTTTTCCCTCATCTGACAGCTTAAACTGAACAGAATTGTGCTGAACTTAATAGAGATATTAAAGTATCCTAATGTACAATCTAGATACTGAGACATATGTTAAAGTACAACAAAACGTTAATGGAGTCAGATTACTTATATTGGAGTCAGATGACTAAATGCTTATGATCCTATTATTGGTTCAAAATAACAATGTAAGACTTGCACAATGTTTTCAGCAGGGTTGATCAGCTTTTTTCGAAGGCTTGATTGTTTTTATGGGATGCAGTCTAACATGTGTTTATACTTCATTTAAATAAATTAAAAAACGAATTATTTGTCATATAATTTACCTTTATTCTACACCGCTGTGTCTGTGTGTTTCTTCTCGTAAACCGGTCTGATGATTTCCTGGTTATAAGAAGCCTCTCCCTCAGAAATACACGACGGGCTCTGATTGGTCAGCTTGGCCCAGAGTGTTGTGATTCGCTAAGCGCCTAGTTCACGCTGTCCGTAAACACCACGCGCCTTTACCAGTTGCACGTGCTCCGGTGTATTGTAAACAAAAGCGTCAATGAGGAATCGAGCAGAACTTGTGCACGAACGGCTGTTACATGACGTTTCAGAAAGGTATGTTTTTGTTACGTTAGATGTCTCATTATTATTTTATACGCTGTTATTTGTGCTACTGCTTGCAAGTGGGCCGCGCGTTGAAACTACACGGGCTGCGTTCGGAAACCGCATACTCAATGAGTAGGTACTTAATTTCAATAAGTACTTACTTTACGAACGTTAAAAGAGAAACGTTAGGTACTTTATAGCCAAATCTCGTTGAGTAGGCTATGAATGCGATCCGGACATCATCCGCCATGTTGACGTTATCATGTGACCTAGGCTACGACGCGTTGTTATCACACTTAATTAGACACATTTAATTCATCTATCTTGAAATTGATGAAACTTGCTCATTTTGTGGTATTGTTGAAGAAACAGCTGTCCATTATTTTGTGAATACATTTAGGGTTGATTTAAGTTGTTATATTTTAAACCCTACTAATGTGACCCACAGTTTTATCCTTATGGGACCTAACGATATATATTTTTTATTAAGAAACCCCTACATCGTCATCTCTTGAATATGTTGTTAATTTCTTTATTTTATACCCCAAAAGTTTTCCTCTTTTTCTGGATGAATTTACCTCTCGTTTCATCCCTCAGAATTTATGTATTATGAAGAACTATTTAAAGATATTTAGCCTTGTTATTGTTCTTTTTTCCTGTGTATAAATATCATATTATGATGTACACAAACCAATGATCTTTATGTTTTCTCTTTTGTCATATGATTGTTCATTGTTAGACATAACTATGGTATCTTTCCATGATCTTGTATCTAATAAGTTTAAATTATATGAGCGACAGGTTCACTAACACTTCATAACATCAGTAACTCGACAGCACAACCTAGAACAGTTTTCCTCTGCGTTTGTAATGTCTGCACAAAGGAGACGGGCCGCTGCTCGAAGATCTCCTGTGGAGAAAACTGTTGACTTTATACTCGAAAAATGTAAGTATCGCTCCTTGAAAATTAATATTTCCTCAGAATGAATTGCATTGTTAGCCCACCCCAAAACTTAAACAAAATAATAATATTAAACGCTGACCAATACTTAATTATATTACTTTTTTATATACTAAAAATTAAATAATTTAATAAAACAAGCAAAATGTAATTTGTTTTGTCATATGACATAGTTGTGCATGAATACACTAGATAAATGCAGTGCAAGCAATGAATTAATGCATACATTAATTAAATAATTATATTTTATATACAGACAACAATAAGAAACTTGAATAAATGAGTAAAAGAACAAATAAAAGTAACCATCACAATAAACAAATGCATATACAAGTCAACAACACATCAAACAAATCTTTATTCAAACTACAAGCATGTATTTACATGCGCTGAACCCCACATACTGCCATCTCAACACAGCGGTTCCCATTCTGCGGCTTTACTCTGATGAATTCACCAGAGGTGAGCGTGCCTTCGTGCCGGAGCTTGTTGCTGCGCTGCGCTTCACAATCTGAGGCGATAAGGGCCGGTGGAGAGATGGAGCGTCTCATCCATGGCACCGTTTCCAGGATTCAGCTCTGGGCTCCTCATCCTCAGTGCTCACACCAGTCTGCAGGCATTTCAGATCCTACAAAAATGCACAAACATTATACAAAAGCAGTCATCAACCATAATAAGGAACAAATAAAATAATATAACATGTTTAGTTACTTTATAGATTTAAATATTTACCTTATTTACAGCACATTTGTCTAATGTAAACAGTGTTGACAACAGTGAATTATCCTACATAATAGCACACTTACATCACTCGTCTTGTTCATGTTGTGATGTGCTCATCTGTAATACTGATACAATATTTTCCTTTCAGATGTAAATAGACATTTTAAATAAGCGTGTTTAAGATGTTTAATATGGTTATGTATATCCACTTTAGAGACGTAACGTTACGTGTGCTTACTGGAGCTCCCCTGTTAGCTAGCTATACATAATAAAACATGTTTTTACAGCAAAATCACAACTACTATACTGTCTAACTCCTTTACACCTTCAACAGTTAAAACGTTTACTCTATAGTAGTTTAACGATTTAACACAAGGAACCGTGTTTACTCACATTTGAAAACCTGGGATAGAAGAGTATCCATCGGACGGCACTCAAAAATCTGGGCGAAAGCAGTAAGCCATCCGGGAACTCTTTTATGAATACTGATGTTTCGAACGTACTGCTTCTTTCACGTACTGCTTTCACCTACTATATAGATTTCCATTACACGAGAGTAGATGTTAAAACTTCATGCTGATTTGTACTCGGCTTTCGCCAAGATAAGCAACACTAAGACGTAGCTTTACAGTAAACTATGCTTCTCCATCCATTTACGCTTCTTTCCATATGGTGGTGTGACTCCCCTTCTGTCCGGCGCTAACGGCTGCAGTGTACTTGGTGCGTCAGCACACACGACGGCTGCAACTACAGTGTGGTCTCCCTAGTGGACCAGCACGACAACCGTCTGGATTGAGCCGAGTAGGGGACATCTCTAGGGTCTTCAATTGAGCACCTTCCGTCCTCAGTGTTTTGTCGACTAGCCCACGACACCTCAAGAGGGCTCGACAGTGACTCTGGCGTCCCAGAGTCACCCCCCTCCTTCCCCCACTCAACTCAGCTTACTGACCTCTACGTCCCTCCTGCTGCTGAGACCTAACCACAATCTCACAATCTCTCCGCAACCCAACCATACGCGCCAACCCGTTTGACTAAGGCTGTCGAGCCCCACTGGTGCGTTAATATGCAGTATTAAAGGGTTAGTTCACCCAAAAATGAAAATTAAGTCATTAATTACTCACCCCCATGCTGTACCAACCCCGTAAGACCTTCGTTCATCTTCGGAACACAAATGAAGATATTTTTGATTAAATCTGAGAGCTGGATCACTGCTACATAGGCTGCCTAAGGGACTGACACTTGACGGCCCAGAAAGTCATTAAAGAAAATGTTTAAATGTTTCATGTGCCTACAGTGGCTCCACTATAAGTTTATCAAGCGACGAGAATACTTTTTGTGCGGAAAAAAAACTAAAATAACGACTTTATTCGACTATTCCATTGCTTCCTTGTGGGCCTGAGACGAGAGTTCAAGAGATTTCCAGGACGCATGCGCTAGAACTGACAATCTTCTTCTACTACACAGCGTGCGTCTTACAAGCAGAGGAAGACGCGTGCTGTACATAGTAGTAGAAGAAGAGTGTCACTTCTCGCGCATGCGTCCTGGAAATCTCTTGAACTCTCGTCTCAGGCCCACAAGGAAGCAATGGAATAGTCGAATAAAGTCGTTATTTTAGTTTTTTTTCCGCACAAAAAGTATTCTCGTCGCTTGATAAACTTATAGTGGAGCCACTGTAGGCACATGAAACATTTAAACATTTTCTTTAATGACTTTCTGGGCCGTCAAGTGTCAGTCCCTTAGGCAGCCTATGTAGCAGTGATCCAGCTCTCAGATTTAATCAAAAATATCTTCATTTGTGTTCCGAAGATGAACGAAGGTCTTACGGGGTTGGTACAGCATGGGGGTGAGTAATTAATGACTTAATTTTCATTTTTGGGTGAACTAACCCTTTAACGTTAATATGCAGTAGGAAAGTTGGCATATTCTAACGCACTATCGTCCGAATCTCGCGTAATTCTCGCCTACACTTTTATGATTCGTACATACTTTTCGCTCGCCTACTCTTTTTCCCATACTATTTAGTAGGGAAGAATGCGGTTTCGAACGCAGCCATGGTCAAGCCAGCCGCACATTTTTTTAGTACGCTATGCTAATTGTGCACTTACGGTATGGGTGCTGAAAGAGGCCAAAATAGATGTTGAGACTCTATTTTCTATCGTATTAGGACACAAATAATAAAATGTCATTATTATTATTTTTTTTAGGCCTATGAATGAATTATTACATAATTTATTATATTAAAGGTGCGTAGCGCAAGTCTCTGAGTTTTTGCAGAACTATGCCTCCCCTCTGGCGACAAGCGAATCTGCCTTACTGTCTTTGTCTTACGTGGAGTTTGCGTTGGGGTTGGGAATGAACTACAAGCCGGTGTCTTTGAATTCATCTTCTACTTTTGTCGAAATTTGACTAAAGTTTTTTCGCTCGAGTTGTCTTCGCTGATACGGAGAATGGCGGCGAATACACAAACCTGCCAGACATAGCCAGGAGAGCGTGAACCCGCATGACGTCACGCCCAGTCTCACGTTCCGGCCCGAATCCCTCTTATTTATTTTACTGTACAGGATTATAGAGGCAATCGCAGTGATCAGAGAAGGGCTTATTCACCCCATCAGGCAATTGTTTAAGCATGTATGGGTTAGAAAACGGGTATTTTTAACATGAAATGTTGCGCAATGCACCTTTAATGATAATTATACATCTTTTTTTTACAATTTTATTGTTCATTTTAATGTTTATATATATATTATACATTAATTATTATACTTTATTAATTAATGTTAATTAAATGTGATTTCAATGTTTGTCTTTGTATGTGTTCATTAATTATTACACATCATGTATCAATGTTTATTTATTACCTACATTTTTATGTTTATTTTCACTGTCTAGTGTCTAGCAGACTTTTGCGTTTTTACCCTTTAGACGGTGGAACGTTTTTAAGATTTCCACGCTAGAGGGTGGTTTCACTTTTTTGCGTTTTTAAGCCCCAAAAACGCAGTCTAAACGAAAGGCACATCTGATAAAATATTTTTACGTTTTCACCCGCGAGCGTTCTCGTGTAAGCAGTGCCTTTAA